TATGAGCATAAGGACCATTCTGGTGAGGTCTTAGAAATGAGGGACAGGTGATCAGAAACTGAAGGAAAGGTGATTCTTGCTATAAAGTGGCACACATTTGGCTTAACTGTGTTTTAGTGTTTTATGGAGACAACTTACAAGCAACAAAATGTATATTCATTAAAGAAGATTTCCATGCAAAATCTAGAAAATGTAGTTTAGGTCCTGCTTACTCCTTATAGAAAAATGCTAGCAGAAAGAGAAGACTTAAGTTAGGAATTATTGAGTAAACAGAATCAGGACTTGGAGACTTGAAAAATTGTCAGCTTATATTGTTAGAATTGAGAAAGTTGTTCTTAAAGAGTTATGGTTGAGTAACCATTTGATACAAATGTCCTGGGTGGGACTAGGAATTCAGTCAGGCATCTCTGCAGAAGCCAAAAGGAAAGATGAGATGCCAACAGAGAAGCTGCCACTTTAAATGGAAAATTGGAAGGTAAAAGGTTGTGATTCTTTTTTGATTCTAGAAGACAACAACCTAGACTTATTCAGCTATAAATATGTACTACCCTTAAGAAGAAAGAAAGAAGGGACCTAAAGGCAATGCAGAGACCCTTTGGACTTTCACTTCCATCTAGGCTCTTTGTGGACATACAAGTGGTGGCAGTAGGCAGGGAGAAATGCTGATCCATCTCTATCTTCACCTTGAAGAGGTATGTAGAGGCCAGTTCCTACAGAGCTGACCAGGAACACTCACCGCAAACTGGAGGAGCAGGGTCCCAGGAGAAGAAGGGGTAGGCTGCACACAAAGCCATGGGTGACACTGCCACCCCAGTTGGCCTCATAGGCAGGACACTGAGCCAAGCAGGCTTATCCTCCAGATACAATAGCTAATGGGCTTTGTCTGCCTGTTTGTAGACTTAGACAGGACTGCTCACCCTTTATTTCTGTCTGTCCCTTTGGGATGGAGGGATCTGGACAAGTCTGTTCCATAATTATATTTTAGAAGCATTAAACATATGTGGTTTGACGTGGTCATAGATAGAAGGAATTTTCACTTGGGTTGAATTGTACCTTGTGCTTCATGTGTGTCTTAGATTATGTAAATGATACTTTGAACCATAGAAGTGGTGCTGGAATGGAATAAAACTTTGAGGTCTGTGTGGGATGAAGTGAATGCACTTTGCAGGAGAGACAGACATGAATTTTATTGCTGTAGGAGGAAATGTTACAGACTGACTTGTATTCCCCTAATTCCTATATTGAAGCTCTAAATCCCAATGTAACAGTTACTTGAAAACACGTCCTTTACAAGTTCATGAAGGATAAAGAAGGTGGTAAGGATGGGACTCCAATTCTGTAGCACTTCTGTGTTTATAAGAAGAATCATGACAGTCGTCACACACTCCTGCATTGAGAGAAAGCCAGGCAAGCATTTGGAGAAGCCCGTTACCTAGCTGCCAGGAATAGAGTCTTATGGGAAATTAACCATGCTGCACTTTGGTCTCTCACACCCTAAAAGCTGTGAGAAAATAAATTTACCTTGTTTGAACTATCCAATCTGCATCATTTTATTATAGCCATCTAAAAAGACTAAGACAAATATTGAAGCATTTGGTAAAGCCTCAACTGGTAGCAGATGCCATGAAGATTGTAGAGCTCAGCACACTTAGCTCTTCCAGAAAAAGCCTCAACTACAGGCAAGTCTCTTAGGTTCTAAATCCTATGAACCTAGGTTTTTCTCACCTTTTCCAAACTACAACAAAAAGAAATAATAATAATGAAGTCCTGTGAAGGTCTAATTTAAGAAAATATGTATATATACTAACTCACTGCTTACCAACACATTTTAATTTGAAATCTATTCCATATTCCAATTATACTTGTTTAAAAAGTAGATGTGTATATGTTAAGAGTAGCTTCCTGCGTATAAATAGAAGTGATTCCTGTTTTTTAGTACACATTTCATGAAGTTCATTTCACTTAGTTTTGTAAAATATTTGAAGTATTGGGAGAAATTAGCAGAGAATCCTGTGGTTATTTCTAAACACTTAGTTTTAGTTTAATCAATTAACTTTCTATTATACAGCATTATACTAAACAGGAACATGTATATTTATAATTACAATTTAGGATCAACACATGACAAACATTTAGAAGTCAACCTAAATTCAACCATGAAATACATATAATTTATTTTACAAGTGGTTACAGAACTTCATACCTGTAAAAACAGTTCTGATGACACAAAAAAACAAAGTATAATGACAGAGTAAAGGAGAGTCTATTGGTACCAAGATTATTTCACTATTTAAAAAGGAATATTGCAATTGGGGGTACTGTATTACACTGACCTACTTTGCTTAGGATACAATGATTTATATATCCAGGTATGATTCTATGCAGCCTTAAAGCTCAAGAAAATCTGAGATGAACATTTATTTCTGGGAGGCCCAGATATAGCATATCATGAATGTGGACCAAGTGAGTCTTCCCAGGACCCTTAAGGGAAGCTATGTGGAGACTGGTTCAAGGGCTGGAATTCAATTGTAATTATGGAGAGTTTATTTTGTTTTGTTTTGTGCACTAGAGAATTTTCCCCTAAAGAAAACAGAGTTTTAGATAGAAATAGTGACATTATAAACTACAAAGTAAAGAAGAAGTATGTTGGAAATAGGGAATAAAACAGAGATGTGAGGGATGGCTTTTGCTTGGGGGAAGGATCTTAGCTTCCTTCTTAGGTAAGAAGTGATTAGCTGGCACTTTCTGTTTATCTGAACTTTCCCAAAGACTTTCAATGCAAATTAATTAGAAGGCATTTTCTACTGGAAAATAAAGGTGCTTTTGCCACCTTAAGTATGGCACATATTTAGTGTCTAGATGGCGAGAAACTGTCTCTGTAGAACAAAGTGCTTCCTCCATCTGCAGTCACCAATTCACTGAGTTGAACATTTACTAGTGTCCCTTTATTAAGTTCTATTGTGTAGTGGAGGATCTATAGTGATAATCTACAATTTAACAAAATGAAATACTTTACTTTGTGGAGCTTTTGCTGAATATGAAAACATTGAGGTTAACTATCATTCATTACTAAATTTATGAATTCATTACTAAATAATCAAATTCAAAGTTTTGCTGTTGGAGTCCAGAGGAGAATTCACACAGTCTTTCCAATCTCCTTTCCTTACTCACTATAATAAATAAGTTTATCAAGTCCAGTAGCCCTTAAAACACCATCTACTACCAAACTAAGTCCCTTTGTTTCGTTTATTGCACCCTAAATCAAATAACTATTGGCTTTTTTCTCTGAGTTCACTGTGCTGTACTACACAGTTGATTCTGGGGAAAATTAATTCTCCTTCTTACCTTGAATTCTCCAGTTTAGGATAACATCAGGAACGTTCTGACATATGAGTAAAGTTCTTTCATTACAAATTTTATTTTTTTATTTCCATTTTTCTATTTATCAAAGGGAGGGGTGATTATGAAAGAATCGCCACTAAAACTTCTAGGTTCTTGAAATGGGGGCTTAATATTTTAACCTGTTTCTCTGTTGCCTCGATATTAAATCTCTCACTTCTAAAATTGTTAAATAAATCCATTTGCTGGGAGCACACAAAAACGTGTCTTACACAGTAAACACCCAACAGACCATCTCTCTTGATCAGTCTGTGTTCTGATTTTTAAATCTACACTGCTGAACTGAATTTTTCTCATAGCAAGGTGGGTAAAGGCACAAGAGACAGCAGAGCGAGGTAAAGTAACCTAGGGAGTGGGAGCTGGGTTCAAGGGAAGCTTGGCAAGTATATGAAAAGAATTCCAAGACTCATAGGTAGTAATTTCTATCTAAAAAAGAAAAAAAGCAAAACAAAACAAAACAAAAAATTGCCAAATTGTCCTATATACAAGAACTGTTAGGCTGAAAGAACATGATGTTCACAGACAACCCAGGCCAGGAGGACACTCTGAGGCCAGATCTTTCTTCAATCTGATGATTCTCATCCCTACTGCCCTGTATAATCACTGTGATTTTAAAAATGCCCCAGAAAACTCTACTACGTATCACCAGTGGTTCCTGATTTTTCCTTGCCTTCACCAAGCAGTAAGACACTGAACCATTTCCTTTTCAGGATGACTGCTGGGGCAAAGTACGGAAGTTGAGGCTACCACAAGAAAAAGGAAGGGACGTCAGCATCTGGCAAGATGTGTCCACAGGAAACAGCTTTTGCTTGGATTAAACCCCTCTCCCCTGCAGGTCTGAACCCCAGATGAAAGGATTCCACTAAAAATGCTTTCATTCTGGGAGCCTTGATTATGTGACTGTCTTGCTTGGCCAGTAGGAGCTCAAGGGCACTGGTCAGCCTTACCCAATGTGCTTCCTTCAATGGCCATCTGCCAAGTCACAAACCATGTCATCCAAAAAAAAAAAAAAAAAAAAAAAAAAAAAAGCCCAATAGGACCAAGAACCCAGAATGGTACCCTAGAGGCAGAGTTTGAGGCCATGGTTCCAGATAGTTTCTTGTGAAATTGCTACCAGACACCTACCATGGTAGCAAAAATATTTGCGAGACCTGGGGGCCCTCTATACCTTCTTTTCAGTTTTAGAAATTTAGGGAGACCACGTACCTAACATATTTCTATGTAGTACAAGCTCATGAGTATCAGATTATTAGGGCATGAAGCTAGGGAAGTTATCCTATCAGGAAATTTGTCAAGAAACTCACATACTTCTTATAGCAATGTTTTCACTTTACTTTCCAGTTAACTCTGGATGAGTACTACTGATCAATCATTACCTATAAGGATAGTTTCTTGCCAACTGTGAATTTGAGATAGGGTTATGCGAAACAGTTAGGGCTGTCCTCAAGTTCACTATGTAGTTCAGGATAGCCTTGTGGCCTCAAACTCTGCCTCAATTTCCAAGGTGTTGAGACTACAGGCATGCAACACCACATCCGGGCACTTTTCAGTAATGGTAACGAAATTACTATTATGAAAGTGAAACTTCCCATGGTATAAGGTAGTGTTCTTAGCTCTTTATTTGAGAAGATGGGGGCTCTGAAAAGAGCCTTTGGGTTTTAGTGCGGTTTCCGGAAGCTCAAACGTCTATCAAATCACTTGCCCTTGGCCTTGTGGTGGCTCTCGGTCTTCTTGGGCAGCAGCACAGCCTGAATGTTGGGCAACACGCCGCCCTGCGCGATCGTCACCTTGCCCAGCAGCTTGTTGAGCTCCTCGTCGTTGCGAATGGCCAGCTGCAAGTGGCGCGGGATGATGCGCGTCTTCTTGTTGTCGCGTGCCGCGTTGCCCGCCAGCTCCAGAATCTCGGCCGTAAGATACTCCAGCACAGCAGCCAGGTAGACCGGGGCGCCGGCGCCTACGCGCTCGGCATAGTTGCCCTTCCGAAGCAGACGGTGTACACGGCCCACGGGGAACTGCAAGCCAGCGCGAGAGGAGCGAGATTTAGCTTTGGCTCGAGCTTTGCCTCCCTGCTTGCCGCGTCCAGACATCTCAAACTCAAGACAATCAAAAAAATATAAAGCTCACAGGAAACCAGAGAGAATAGAGAAAGACTGAGAACGTGGCTGCTTTTATAGATAGTTCCTGGATCGTAAATTTCACTGTCTGATTGGCTAGTAAAAGCATCTCAGTAGTAACCAATAGAAAAGCTGTATTACCATCCTTCATTTGCATAGCTCAACCCATGTATGACGGCCGAGCCGTTTGTCTTCCAATTATCTAACAGTGTCTCAGAATCCCTCATTAGCATAAATGCCCTATAAATAGCAGAAATCCGCTTGGTATTTTCATTCTACTTCTGTTTTGAGGTCTTAGAGATGCCTGAGCCTGCGAAGTCAGCGCCTGCCCCGAAGAAGGGCTCCAAGAAAGCCGTCACCAAGGCGCAGAAGAAGGATGGCAAGAAACGCAAGCGCAGCCGCAAGGAGAGCTACTCGGTCTACGTTTACAAGGTGCTCAAGCAGGTGCACCCCGACACGGGCATCTCTTCCAAGGCCATGGGCATCATGAACTCCTTCGTCAACGACATCTTCGAGCGCATCGCCGGCGAGGCGTCGCGCCTGGCGCACTACAACAAGCGCTCCACCATCACGTCGCGGGAGATCCAGACTGCCGTGCGGCTGCTGCTGCCCGGGGAGCTGGCCAAGCACGCCGTGTCGGAGGGCACCAAGGCCGTCACCAAGTACACCAGCTCCAAGTAAACTTGGCAAGTAAGCTTTCTCCACCTATCACCAAAGGCTCTTTTAAGAGCCACCCATACGTCCACAAAGAGAGCTGTTTACGCACCTTTCGGTTGTGGGGTGGCAGGCAAAGGATATTTCAATCGTAAACGGACCACTGTAAAAAGATCGCCGGCGTTAGGAAGCTAGGCATTCAAATTGTATCTCTCAGTTTGAGACTGAAATTAATAGTATGTATGGATATTTAGTCGGTGTCTGAGTGTATTGATCTAGAGTTGATGCTTGAAACAAGCGTAAAATTTTTAAATCACGCTTGGGATGATTCCATATTTGTAATACTAGGTAAATTGCAAAAACAAGGCTTCTGGCTACTGGCAGGTCCAGAACAAAGCTGAGACAATAGGAAAGCTCGTAGGCGTGGCTTAGTGTCTTGGAGCCCTTCCACGTTTGCCAACGCAGACTGACTTCCGGGAACGGGAAATCCTAATCTTCCTTTTAACTCTTATTCTTTCAGAGAGATTTTAAGATGGAAGAAGCTCTTCACCCATCTTTTGTCCTGAAACGTTATGCTAGGATTTTAGAAGGTAGAGGCAAAATGTTAAGCGATTTTACATTGTTAAGATGTTAGGTAATTTGTCTTACAAAATTAAGACCACAGGGACTTGAAGTCTACAGTTTTGTTTGATCCGGAAGTATAAAATAAATACCACCTGCCTTGAACAAGGCTTTGCAACCGTGGGCTACCTGATAATTGGGTTACAGGAGATTTCTCTGACGAATGATGGAACCCAAAGGTGAAAGTGTAAATACAGGATATTACCAACAGTTATACATTCTCCACAGCCAAGCCTCAAGATTGTAGTGTACTTCACAGCTGATTTTCCTATGTTCCTAGGTGGTCTGTGGAAGAACTGATATTCAGCACAGTTTAACCTCTCTCCTTTACTGCAGCTAACGAATTAAAAACCTGTAACAGGATTTACTGTACCTAGGTAGAATGCAAATTTCTCCACTTAGCATTTTTCTTTCTTATATAAATGCTGTTTTTCCTGCGTGCAATGAAATAATTATACAACCAACTACCTGCTTTCCCTTCAATACAAGAAAGCATTAGACTAATGATTAACTTTGACCATTTGTTTCTGGAGGTTCCACTGAATGATTGAATGCAGGAACAGGAATTTACAATAATGTGTGGCCTAAAAATACTTCTCTTTTAACATTGTCTTTTGAGGTTTTTGCTCCAGTTTTTTTGGCTGTTGCATGCTTAAACTTTTTTCTTGCTGAAGTTTGTTTTTTGTTCTGGTTCTCATTCTGGTTAGTTATTGTTGGCCATAAACAAGATTTATTTGTTAATTTTTAAGTTTGTTGGTATTTGTCTAAGGATTCTGATATTATCTGTATTTGGGAACCGGAGTCTTGGAGTTAGTGTTTTTCTCTCTGGTTATGATGATATTGATACATTTTATTAATGTAAATTAAGTTTTAATTGGTTTATATAAACATTTACAAGTATGTCCATTTAAAAGTTCTATCTCTTTAGGTTGTAACTGAAAGAAAAGTTTAAGTGGGACTTTAGTGGTTTTAGTTATAGGTTATAAGAAATAAAGTATTTCCATGTTGAAAAACAACTATTCTGAGGGTGGTAGAGTCTCTCACTTTGTAGTGCAAACCGGAGGTTTGAGACAGGGTCTCATTTTGTAGTGCAGGTTGGCCTGGAACTCACTATGTAACCTAGGCTGGCCTCTAACTGAGATCTTTTCGCCTCAGCCCACTGAGAGCTGTGATTACATTTGTATGGCACCACAGCTGGCCTCAATCTAAAATCTTTAGTAATTGGTATACATCTTTATAAGAAGAAAACATTTTCATGTTTTGAATTAAGATTAGTTTTGGAAAAATTCACTGACTTAATAGTATCGTTTTAAAATGGTTTTATGTCTTTATGATCATAATAAAAATAATGTTAGCATAGTTTAGTTATAATAGACTAATGTTTATTGTATTAAAAGCTAATCAATTTTTCTTTTTTTGGTACCAGGGATCAAACTCACAACCTTGCACTTAAAGAGCTAAGCACATGAGTCACTGTGTTAAATTCCCAGCCCTAAATTACTTATGTTCAAGTAACTTTTTACTAGATTTATTGGTTAGATAAGTAAACACTTTACTATAATTTTAAAATTGTAGCTAAATTGAACTAAATTAAATCATAACATCATTTAAAATGGAATTAATTTTATAATTTTACACATTGTAAGTAATCAATGTGTCATCTTAAAAACAACTTATGATTTATAAAGTAAAGAATTTAGATGAACATTAAATTGAGGAAATTAATGACTAATCTTTGGGTACTTGTACACTTTCTAATGTGTTTACAAAATGCAAATTCCTAAGTCTATTTTTATATAATTTATATTGACCCATGATGCCACTTTAGATCTGTAAAATGGATGGACATATAGTATACTTGTTTGGGCCTAGAGAACCAAGCAGGTCAGTGTCAATACTTCTTCTCCATGCACTGAAGGAAACGCAGTCGCCTGCTCTATTTAAGGGCTCCTTCTAACACAAACAACTCTGATGCTGCCAGCTAATATAGCTACAGAGAAGAATAAATAAACATACAAGATAATGGATATGTTTATTATTTAAGAAAGTTGATATTCTTTAGTAATATTGTAATTCAATGTAATATGTTAGTCACTTTAAAATAAAACTGGCTTTTTTCTTGTTTTTTTATATACCTATAATCTATATTCATATTATAATAAAAACTTTCTGTGACAACTTTTTTATTTTTTGGTATCAGGGATTGAACTCACAACCTCATGTTTGCCAACCAGGCACTTATGCCACTGAGCTAAACCCCCAGCCAACTTTATATTTTAACTATTCTAAATTCAAACTCTACATTTAACATAATAAAATTGTTAAGATACCTTTTATACCAAAAAACTTCAAACAAACAAAAAAAAACCTATATCTGGGGTTCACTTGATAGTTGCTGAGTAACAAACAACTTTTCTGCTCACCATAAAAATACTAAAATAATGAGTTGCATTTAGGAGTTTCTAGAAAATAACTTATAATCGATAAAAGAAATGCTGTGAAAGTTTTTCGTACTCTATGGAAGAATAGACTTTTCATTCTGAATTCTACTAAAAATAATGTGCAAACACAATAGCCTATTTCTAGATAGTCTGCAAGTGTTGTCTTTATCAATTACATAATACTTTTTAACCTTTATTGGATGAATTCAACCTATTTCTTGATATACCTTGTATACAAGTAAATGTGTGTTAATAATTAACATAATATTCTTGAGTTATTATTAAACAAGCTCAATCACCCTGAGCCTGTAGTATACTACTAACTACCTACTCATAAGCAATAAAGATGCAATGAAATAGGAATTAAGAAACACTAGTTCCAGAAATGGTATCATATCAGGAAAGTGGTTGAAAGCGTTGCTCCATGATGGACAAAGTAAAGTCTCTGTAGACAGAACCTCCAGGTTTGACTTCTGGCTCACCATTTTTGAGGTATGAGACTGAGGCAAGTCATTTATATCTCTGTTCATCTGTGCCTGGAGCATGAGGGAAACAGTAACTTCTGGTTGTGGGTCAAGACTAAAACTCATAAGAAGCATTTTACTGCTGTTTGACAAATAACAATTACTTACAACTGTCCTTACATTAAAAAGACTCATGGATCTCAATGGAAGTTAGTCTGTGATAAATAATATGAATTTTATAAATAATAGGAATTTGATAAAAATTGTAATTTTGTAAATTATTTAATATAAAAAGACATCTGGTTATATTGTACTCATCCAATAGATTGAGAGGAAATGTATATTTTGCTACACATTTATTTCTTTAGGTATATTCCTAAAGATATAAGAAACCGTTATCAACCTTGACTCTTCCACATTTGCAATGGTTCATACATTCATCACATTAGCAGACAATCCCAGCAATCTTAAGTTAAAAGGAATTCAAAACTATTAAAACTGTCACCATGTTCAATACTGAGTTAATCATAAAATTAAATTAGGTAGAATACACAGTTGCATGTGACCTTTTCTACAAGACATTCCAGGCTCTGACTAAATTCTTTAGATTTTAAAAATTGGCTTGACATGTTATCAACCCCTATGGGTTGAATATAAGTTAGGGAAAGGTAAATCAGTTTGAAGAAAGAGCTGCTTTTCCCCTATTTCCCATCCCTGAGGAGAAGAAAAAAGAATGAAACTTTTATCCACTCATTTAAAGAGTTGTCATAGAATCTTTTCACCCAATGAGCAACTTGGAAAATAATTCATAGAAAAGTTTGGCTTCATCTCACTATTGTTGTTTGTACTCTATGTTAGATCTCCTTGCAGCTGGTTCAGAAAGGTTGAAGGGACAGAAATGACAGTCTGTTTCATTCTGAGGGAGAGACCTACCTAACAGAAGCAACCCTAGGTAAAACCTTGACCTGAAGGCTGGGAACCCTAGGCTTATCCTCTGCCTACCTCATGGTCTCCAACAGTAAAAACTGAATTCAAGAGCAATAAGAGTAAGCTTTTTTTCTCATTCCCCTTTTTTCTTCCTCTTCTTCCCTTCTTCATTTTCTTGTTTTAAGTTTTCATTTCATATTTTTCTCGTCTATTATTGAACTAAATTCATGTATAGAACAAAACACAAAAATGCTGAAAATTTTAATTTTTAATAAAATTTAGTTTGATTGTTGGACTTTATTAAAGAAATGGGGTCATGGATCTTTGACATTATGTTTTAAAACACTAATACATTTGCTGTTGAATGCAGTGAAGTAAATATATTTTTAAAAATTAAAAAAAATAATATAGATAATGAAACTGTGTTTAACAGTTCTGTAGCGATAATGAGAGACTGGAATTTAATCCGTTGGAAATGACAGGAAGTAGCTCTAACTCCTTAGCATGTGAACTGTTTGCAGCGGGTGAACTGTAATAGACTTGAATTTTATCTTGTCTTCAGTGTGCTCTGCAAGCTCCTAAGACATTCATGGTTTGACAGACTCTGCTCCTGCCCCTGTTGGAGCCTCTTCTGTTCCTTTCTCTCTCATGCTGTGTCTTGCAGTCAGATATGCACACATACAACTTTCTCTGGCTCCCTGCTTGACCCATATGCTCATTCTCCTTGAAAGTTTTTCTTTTTCTTTCTTACTGGCAAGTTTATACTCATTCTGCAGGAATCTGCTTGGTTGTTGCCTACTCTGGGATGTGCTTTGGAGTATGCTCTCCTAGCGGCTCTGAAAATCTGTTGCACAATTTGTACTTAATTGTCATTACTTATCTAGCTGTCATGCCTCCCACCCCCAACTTCAAGACGTGAGTTCTGATTTCATTACCACACTTTCCCTAGGGTCTATCACCAAGATTGGTACACAATAGAAGCACAAAAATGACTGATTTATCTTCCTGAGAAATTTTTTTGTGTGAGTTTTTTTTTTTTTTTTTTTTTTTAAATCAGTACCGGGGATCGAACTCATGACCGCCTATGGACTGGTGACATTGAGTGCTTATGCCACTGAGCTAAAATTCCCCGCCCCAAGAAATGTTTTAAATACCTCTATGTATCAAACATTGATCTGCATTCTGTATAGGTCAGGCGATAAAGGCACAAAAGCCATGTTCTGGGCTAGGATTCGTGTAAGACCATAAACAGTAAGTAAGGAAAATATTTGCCTGTGAGAAAGTGAATGTCATAGAGAAAAACAAAGCAAGCAAACAATGTAGTAAGTTCAGGGGGAAGAGGACTGTGTTGTGGTTGGGGAATGGCACTGATGAACCAATGAAAGAAAAGCTGGACACAAAACCCTAATATCTGGGGTCTCAGTGGAACCAACTAATAGTTCCAAAGTTTTAAGGTGCTTGAGCTTTTCCAGGGATAATTTGTTACCAGATTTGACTGTAGGTAGGGCCTAGGAGTTATGAACTAAATAGTGGTAGGTTTGTGCTACTATGGACTGGTGACATTGAGTTTGCTTCAAAAATACCTTCAGTCAAATCTAGGCAATAATACTTGCTGTTGTATCAAACAGATACAATTTGTGGTTGAATATCATATCAGTTCATGACTTGTTATAACGTGATGTGTGTGATGGTGAGGATGAGGCTCTTCTCCAGTCTTCCAGAGAGCAAGTCTCCTTCCATCTTGTACTTGGGGCACCACTGGGTCTCTGAAGTCTTTTATGAAACCTCAATATCAAGCTAAAAGACAGGAAGAAAGGAAAAAAATGCCTCTGTGAGAAAAATTGTTATGAATTAGGCCTGGAAGTGACACTTACCATTTCTGCCCTCTTTCCTTGGCCAAATCTCAGCTTAGTCCTACCCACCTGCCAAGTAAACAAGGAAATGCAGATTAGCTCCATGTCTGTGCAGAAGAACAAACAAGGATGAATGCATAGAGAGTAAACAAATACTGTCTGTCTATCATGACATCCAGTTCTCCTTGGCCATCCTCTTTTTCCTTTCTCTCTTTTTCTTACCCTTCTCTTCTTAACGATGAGTCCCACAAAGGCCTTGCATCAGTGACAATATTTCTGTAGCACAGATTGCCTGTGGTCTTGGGATAATCTAAGAAGAAGGCTTCTTTCCTTTCTGTCCCTTGCCTGCAGGACCATTCCTAGCCCTTCGTCATCTAGCTGGTCCTAGGAGCCCATCTTCAGGACCTGTCTCCTTAGGAATCCACATCACTTTCTTAGATCTTACATCTCAGTAGGGAAGAAAGACAGCAAGTCCTCTTTTTGTAAGAAATTATATAGAGTAGGAGTAAGTTCTGGGAATATAGAAAAGTTAGAACCTTCAAAGGGGTATCAGGCTTAGGCATAGATATAATAATAATACACATATTAACATTAATATATTAATGCAAATGCTTCATTCAACAAGAGCCGCTCATAGTAGTATAGTACTTAATATGGGATAAGCATTGTTAGTTTTCCTGTGTTAGCTCAGTTACTCTTCATACAATAAAATGTTAGCAGGAAAGCATAAAGGAAGTCCTTCCAGTAGGAATAAGAGAGGAGAAGCCCTTTGGGCTCTAGCTTTTAACTGTTCTAAGTAGCTATCTCTTATTCTTTTGTATATTTTCACTACCGTTATTGTACCATGACATGAAAAGGGCATATATGAAGTGAACACACAAGGTCCTTAAATTTGGTGCTTTTGTAGTCATGTTTAGGAGAGCGTGGCACTTGGATATGTTAACATCACTGTAGTGGACACATTGTAAAATGCTCTGTTCCAACCTGAGGGGTCCCTCTTAGCAGCAGAGCTGTTCAAAGGTTTGTGGAAGACTCTGTACCTCTCACCAACTGAAGAGAGAGGGTGCCTGCTCCCATGCTCATCGCCAGTGCCCCCCAGCTCTGCTTCTAGACAGGCTTTTGTAAAAAGTATCTAAAAGTGACTTTTTCTTTTTCATTAAACAAATAGTACATATAAAATATATAATGAAAGTCTCTGTCTTTCCAAAGTAAGGTGAGGCCGTAGGCATTAGATATATCTAGTGTGTCACAATTACAAACTCTTGCATTAGCAGAACAAAGGGACATTTGCCACAAAAACCTACGTCTCCCTACAAAATAATGTGTCATCTCATAGGAATTAAAGGGGATTCTTTGTTAAGCAAACCTTGCATACATTCTTTGAAGTGGATTTGAACATGTGGGTAGCATAAGATGAGATTTGTTTTTGTTGGCTTATTAAGAAGAGGGAGAAAAGACATTATACAATACCTCAAGAAACAGACTCAGCATGTATTTGGACACTTCTCCATCATATATTTCATTTGATTTCACTTATTTTAAAGGAAGACAGACACGGGGGCACAAGAGTGATTTCTACCAGCTGGCCAGAAGGACCATCACTGGACAGGAAGGAATCTCCTGGGAACTCATAATGGCCACCTCATGTGGAAGTCACAAGCAGGACCTCTCCTGCCTGTCATCACTTGAGCATCTCTCACAGGCAGCTCCATGGGGCTCCTGGCCAAGCTTACTTCCCTCCTTAGACAATCCCTACTCCTTGGCCAGTATCACTTATGAAAAGTCCTGACTCCTGTTATCCACCTGACAAATTCCTTCTCTTCAAGTCTTCCATCAAATGGAACTTCCAGGACACTGACTGAGCCACATCCATCCCTTATGCACAGAGATACATTCACATATGCACAGCATGTGGGGACTTATTGCTGTGGTCTGCTACCCAGCAGCTGTGCTGCCTGGAAAACTCAATCTCTCATGCCTTAATTTTCTCATCTGGAAACAGGGAGAGTAATGGGGATACCTAATACAGTTGGAATAACCAAATGCATTGGTATCTATATAACCAGAGAAAATACCTGATGAACATTCATTATTGTTTTTATCGTTTTCAGAGTCAAGTACAATGATGAAGATTGGATAAATCACAGAAGTGAATCAGAGTCTCTCTTCTGCCAGGAGGAGCAAACAGACTTCAGACTTATCTTTTCTATTACTTGCCACTGCTGGACACCGTTTTAACTCACAAATAAACCAATGAAAAGTGATACCTACTGGAAGATCACTGGATCCTTTAAAGCAATCAAGAAAGATCGATAGACACTTGGATAAAATATTGGTTTTTTTCCTGAGTATAAAAATGCTTTTTGTAGAAATTTGCAAAAAAACATAAAAGAAGAAAATTAAAATAACTTCTAGTGTCTTCTGTTATTTATACATGTGTGAGGTAGCTACCTATAAGAATATCAATATGTAATAGTGTATATATAATACGTAAATATCACATAAGATGCAAATGTAGGTATCATATCATAAATATACATTAGTAATTGTTAACTGACTAAATGTGTTTAGAAACAATTTTCATCACTATGTATTTATGGATGTATCATTTCTGTTTGTGATTATTTTGACTGACTCTTATTTATATGCCATACAGATCATGCATTTTTCTTTAGGAAACAGACTTAGCTGAACAACTGGCACAGGTAAAGTTATGCATGTGAACCTTTTATTTGTTTTTATGATAATTTTTCAACTATATAAAATGAAATATGAACCATGGGTCAACTGAGTATAAATTATAGTCTGGGAATTTCCTAAACTCACTTAGCTGTCTGTTTCATTTAAAGCAATAGAATGGTGTAGTCTGTCAACCTGTAAATAAAAGGATCAACTTAATCCTGGCCCATAAGTCACTGATACTTAAAGACACAAAAACTTGGAGATCATCAAAAGACAGTGAATCCAAATAGAGGTATAAGCTTAGGATACTCAGAAAAAAAAATACCTATGATTTCCCTGTTATGGTTTATATCTAAAGTGCTCACCCAAAGTCTCATGAGCTCAGAACTGGGACTTTAGTAAGGTGATTGGATTATGGAAGCACTAAATTTACCAACAAATTAATTGATTGATGAGTTCCAAACTCAAAGTGTTATTAGTAGTTGTGGCATGATTGCAAGTGAGAAGATCACTGGAGACATGACCTGATAGGAAAGTCTTGTCCTATTTCATCTCCCCTTTACATGAATCCTGAGCACCACGCACTGAGCAGCTTCCTCTGCCATGCCCTTCTGCCATAGGCTTTCTTCTTTGGAGCCAGCCAACTATGTACTGCACATTCTGAACCCATAAGCCTCACCTGTGCCAGCTGTTCAACTGTCTTCCAGTAAGTTGCCGGTGTCAGGTATTTTATCTCAGTGATAGGAAAGAGACTAATACATTCTCGAAGGGTAAATATATTCCAAAATGAGGATCATAATCCATTAGCGGGTATGAAATCAATCTAATGATGCAAATCCAGTGTGTTTAAAAAAATTGATTAATGCAAATGCTTAAGGTAATTTTACAAATTTTGTTTCAGGTGTTTGTGCCAGTGTGTGGTGTGTGTATGTAGATTTGTTTGTGTGTGAGACAGACAGAGACCAAGACACAAACAGGAAGAGAAAAGGAAAGAGAGTGCATTTTACTTTGCAATCAGATGTGAATTTTCATGTTTTAGCTTTGTGTTACAAACATTTTAAATGTGCTCACTCTTTCCCATATTGTTTCAGGGAAAACTCATTCTAAGAACATTATAATAAACTCCAATCTCTGACTTTGATCTCTTCTTAGTAACGATTATGTAATAAACCTACAACCACGGTAAACACAATAATAATATGACAGTGTTGCTCTTTAAAACATCTCACGGTTTCTGACCTGTAAATTTTCTCCTATATCTCTTATATAGGCATTTGTGGATTTTTACAAAATAGTGCTTCTAGAGTTCTACTTGACTGATATGCTGAGCTCTGTTCACAGTACACTGCTTTCTTTGCAGTACACTGCTTCGAATATGACCCTTTCCAACACATCTACAGCCATGCTTGCCAGTCCAGTCTTGTTAGTGATAAGATCTGTAGGTTCAACTGGTCATCTGCCTTGTGGTGCTTAGAAGAGCAGGGATGATTTCTCTTTGCCTTGGGTGAGGATAAACTGTGGTGGGAGTATGAAATTAATGTAAAGAGAAGCTAAACTCAGCTGAGGACACTAACCATGGGAATGACCTGATGGCCAAGCAGATGTCACATGTGAGATTCTTTTCTTTATCCCATTCTTGAAGATCTGTAAGACTTCAGGAAGTGCAGCGTGGCTTTAACCCCTGACAACTCACGTGCCTTGTGATCTGTCTTACTAGACTGTGCTTGCCTAAATACGAAAATATCCTGAGGTTTTTCATTTTATAAACTGCAGTGAGACAGCTACAAGATTTGTGTTACTTCTCTAACATATATAACTACTTTCTGGGAAAAATTAGGACATGACTAATTTTTTTCCTTCACCATTTAGAAGCCACCTTTATAGAAAACCATTCAGAAAAGGTGACACAAATTTTTACTTAAAAATTCTTTTTAAATTATAAGGAAAAGAGGAAGTTTTGTTCGTCCCCTTGGATGTGGCTAGAAATTGAGGGGTTTCTTGAATAATTTTGACACGTAGGGTTATCTGTCACTAAAATGTAAAAAGTCAGGTGAAATCTGAGTCCAGATGGGTTGTTCAGCAGGGGAAACTAGTGGATTCAGTAAGGAGCAATTTTGTGGGATTCAACTTTTGAGGTTAAAACAAACACAAATGCTCCGCCTCCGAGTGGCGGGGGCGGTGCTCCAGCGATGCACCAATCACAGGGCATCCTACCGTATAAAGCTCTGCACCTCCCCCACCCGGCGCTTACGCTTGCTGGTGGTCAGTATAACTTTCGTTTGGTATGTTTGAAACACTGCCTGCAGTTCCAACTGCTCCTGCTCCGGGCTCCATGGGGAAACTACACGCCAAGAGACGAGGCAGGAAGGGAATTTGCGAGTCAAGTGTCAACCAGAAGGCGCAGAGCTCTTCATTGTCTGAATTGATCAACCAGTCTCTGATGGAGTCACAGGACCGAGTAGGCATGTCCCTTGTCGCGCTTAAGAAATCTTTGGCTGCCACCGGCTATAATGTGAAAAAGAATAACAGCCGCATCAAACAAGCTCTCAAGAGCTTAGTGAGCAAGGGAGTTGTGGTGCAAATCAGAGGGACTGGTGCTTCTGGGTCTTTCAGACTCAGCAAAAACGCTGCTCCTGAAATCACCCAGAGCAAGGTAGGAAGGCCTGCTTCTGCCAAGAACAAGAAGCTGGGCTTAGACGGGGGCCCCAGCTCCCCAAAGAGCACCAAGACCAACACGGGGGGCAAGCAGTCGAAGGTTGCACACAGGGAGGCCTCAGGCAGAAAAAAGAAAGTCCGAAGATCCAAGAGCCTACAGCAGCTAAAGAGCCCGGCTAAGGCCAAAGTGGGGAAGGCCAAGGCCAGAATCCCAAAGTCGGCCATGCAGAAAGCAAACTCCAGGAAGGCAGTATCTAAGAAGTGAGCAGTTTGAAGAGAAAGACCCTTTTTCACAGAACCCAAAGGCTCTTTTAAGAGCCACCCAAATTTTTAAAATGACGTGACACTGAAAACTTGCAGGAAGTTCAGGTTTTTAGCCAAACTTCCTACTAACAAATTGAGATCTGATGAGGTGAAGTGACAACTAAATTTATAGGTATAAAAGTGCAAAAGTATTTGGGGTATGCCCATTCTACAAGGTGTTAATGAATGCAACAATTTATAAGGTAGCCTTATCACTTAATTATTTATTACCTTTTCTACAAAAGCTACTGAAAATGGGAGTACAGACATGTTCAGCTTTGGAAAGTATCTATTACCTTGTTATTCTTCTGTTTTTTAAGTAGTACTATGGTCCTAATTTATTCTTTAGTAGGGTTCCTTGCCCAATGACTTATGTGGGATCCATAACTATGAAAGTGTTCTAGGATTTGGGTCATAGAAAAGCTTTACCTTTAAAATTTTTATTAGCTTCCAGTTGAAATTTTACAATCTTCTAAGGGAGACAATACTTTCGGTGTATTTTGGAATGGTATATACTAATCATGGTGAACTTTTTAGCGTTTTCAGTGAAATACATCGACTGCCACCATCGTACATATTATTAGATGTCAGATATCTAAATAAATGCAGATGTCCTTTTAAAAATGATTTACTATTATTGATTTGATATGATTGTAATCCTAAATAGTATTTCATGTAATTTTTTAATGAAAAAAATGTGTAGGCCTCATGATACTCTGAGGGCACACTACAGGATGAAAAACTGAACCCATTATTTATATGGGAATGTTTGTGACTGCAGTTAGGAGACAAATTACAAACATTTTATTAGCAAACTCTTTGAGTCCAATCTGAAATAGCTTTCTTTATAAAGTAGTTTTAGTTTTCTCTTAAGCTGTCGTTTAGCATTCTTATTCATTCCTTAATCACACATACTAGATCCATGCTGTTAATTTATGTAGAACTGTTTGGGGGGCAACTTTAAGGAAAGGCAAAATCATGTCTTTGTACATTACTTGATCCTAGAAACATGTTCACTAGGTGGTTCAATGTCTTTTTCTTTCTAGACTAAGTAGGACTTTTTGTAAATTGTGTATTAACATACAAAATGACTGTAAACATAATGGTTTCAATTTGTACAAGCCCCTTCAGCCCTCGTGTTGTTTAGTTATGATGATCACTGTCCCTATGAAGTTGGAATTGAAGATCATGCAATTATGCAAGTCACTACCCGGCAAGATAATGAGCCCCTCTGACCAGGACTCCCAGGATGAAGATGTCCTGGTGCCCTCACCAGAAGCCAGAATACGGGATCTTCCACATGCACTTCCACGTTTTTTTTTTTTTTGTTGTTGTTGAAATTTCAGCTTCCCAGTGCCTCAAACAACTTCGGTTCAAGCCCTTAATCACTCAAGTTTCTTCTAGTTTAATCTGCTCATTAATGTCATTTTGGGCTCAGCCATGGGGTCATCCCATTCTTTGCAAAATTTTCATTCTTTCAGCCTCTAAGCAGCTTCACATGCTGTTGTCTCTATAAGCCATACAGGCCTGTGTTCATGCTCAGATCCTTCTCGCTGCCGCCAGAGCGCTCTCATATTTGAGTCCAAAGTTCCTGCATCGTGCAGAAGTAAACTTTATGGTGTAATTCGCGCTCATTTTTCCCGTTCATTTGAAAAAAAAAAAAAAAAAACCGACTTCGCCGCCATTTTTCTAATTATGTTGTGTAAAAAAAAAAAAAAAGCCACCACCCCGTCAGGAATTGTTTACCTACCAGTCACTTCAGAACAGGTATCAAAACTGCTCAGATTGAAACCACGCACAAAAGCACATTCAGCTCTTTGTGTGACTTTGTGGGTGGCCCTAAAAAGGGCCTTTATTTTCTCAAGGAAGACTACTTTCAGCCGCCGAAGCCGTAGAGCGTGCGTCCCTGGCGCTTGAGCGCGTAGACCACGTCCATGGCGGTGACCGTCTTGCGCTTGGCGTGCTCCGTGTAGGTGACGGCGTCGCGGATCACGTTCTCCAGGAAGACCTTGAGCACGCCGCGGGTCTCCTCATAGATGAGGCCAGAGATGCGTTTAACACCACCACGGCGGGCCAGGCGGCGGATGGCAGGTTTGGTGATGCCCTGGATGTTGTCGCGCAGCACCTTCCGGTGACGCTTAGCGCCGCCTTTGCCAAGGCCCTTTCCTCCTTTGCCACGTCCAGACATGTCTGCGACTATTCTGCTAGACCCAAACTCGACGCAACCCTTAAATATTCGCTATGCGGACCTCATTGAAAACCAGGGCACTAGGCTTTTTTTTTTCTCCCAAAATAGGAAATCACCTAGGGGGTGGGCCAAAGGCAAGGCTATATTAAAATTTCAATGATTTGATTGGCCAGTGAAACCTTGCCTTTCTTTGGGCGGGCTGGATGGAGAGGCACAGATTTCATTGGACCGAAAGCTTTATTTTTACTTTTGTATTGCATTATTGTGTCTTGCACACTTGCAAGTTAAAAGTTTTTTTTATGAGGGCAATCATTATAAGCAAAGATCCCAGTTCCACTTTTTAATTTTTAAAACTTCCACTAATTAGGTAACGATTCCATGGAGTAAAATATAAATTATGTCTAAACAAGTAGATTGATATAACAAGGGGCTTTACCTCCAAACACTTTTAATTTTTCTGTTCAAAACACCACATTTAATAGCCTTGTGCTAGCATACAGACCTGGCCAGGATATAGCTCTGCCTTCATAGCTTCTATGTTCGGGAACAAAAAAAGTGGAAATATAACTGTAAATTGAAACCTTTTAAATTCCAATTCTTCCTCTTTTTTCTTACCTCAGTTCAAACATTTATTGGGTGATTCCCTTTTCTGTGAATGTAAGAGAGGCAGAAAGCCTACTGTTGGGATAATCAACTGTAATTTGGCCCTATTCCAGGGCCTCTGTGCCTGTCTAATATGCCTGAAGTTCCAAACATACTTGTCTTCCTCCTTTTGCAAATCCCTTTTCAGACTGCTCCAGTTTTAGAGAACATACCTTTTGTAGAACTGGGAATTAGTTGTATAGAGCTAATACTCGATTAAGGTCATTACAAAGCCTACAAGGTCCTCCCTTTAAAGACCTTTGATAAGATTACTGATGTTAAAATAAGGGTAATCCCATTTAACAAAGAAAAAATGTAAAATAGTGGAATTCCGTGTGCATGAGTTTTGAAAAGACTTGAACCAATTTTCTCCTTAGCTTTCTGCAGCAGCTTTCGGGAGTTTTCATGATAAGAATTATTCTTGTTTAAAAAACAAAATCTTGGCTAATAAACAAATGCCTACCATGGGTACATACAATGTAGCCTATGGCCTTTGAGAACATATGATAGCCTCAAACATGCTCACATGAAAACTGATGTAGGGAAGGAAAAAAGACTCAGGGCAGAATATTTAAATGCCATGCTTTGTTAGATTTCTAAAATAAGTGGTTATCTTCTGCATCTAAATTGAAAGTTTTTAATTTCCTAATTGTCAACTCACCACAAACATGCACCTTATAACAGATTTAGCTAGTAAAAAGCTAACCACTACTGAGAAAAAGTGCAATGTTACTGGCAAAACTCTGAAATCTCAACATGCTTTTAAGTGAATAAAATGAAAATATACTGTATATACAACATGGTAATTTATGGGAAAAATTTTTGGTGAACACTACTCTGAAAAATACATCCCAGGAAATGCCATTTTTCAGTATAACTGCACATCTAGGTTGCCTTTTCTTCAAATTAATTTTGCTTTTTACAGCATTAAAAATTTTATTTTGCTTTTTTCAGAATTAAAAATTTTATTTTTTTCAGCACTAAAAATGTATTTTGACATTTTATTTTTTCCTAATCTCTACTTCTAATATTTAATTTTCTAACTTTTCACAATAACAATGACAATAGTGAATGTGTAAACTTGATGTGGCAGTACAATATGTAATCCCAGCCAGTTAAAGCTTGAGGCAGGAGGATTACAAATTGTAGGTCAGCCTGGGCAATTTACCTACCTTCTGTCTCAAAATAAAAAATAAAAAAGGCTGGGAAGGTAATTTAGTGGCAGAGCACCTGCCTAGTATATGCGATGCCCTTGGTTCAATCTCCAGGACTGGAAAAAGACTTTTTAAAAAGATATACAAGTAGAAATATACAGTACTTGGACTTTGTCACTGTTGGAAGAATACAGATATTGTATGTCTTGGGAGGTGGGAGGTTCACACTTCAGTCCAAACTATTGGTTTTTCCTGTCAGCTTCTTATCCTCCAGGTGAGTCTAGCATGCCATGATACCATGCATTTGACTTGTGAATTAGGCCCTTCAGATGAAAGATCTGCAAATTGGTGTGGCTAGTAGGACTCATGGAAAACTCAGAAAGCTGACATATTAATCAGAGGGATTAAAAAAGTATGAAATGCCTAAAATGCTCCCCAGGCTAATTCCATCAGAATATTGGAATTATAAAATAGTATGTATGTGTTTTTTTCAAATAATTCAGAAGCAAAGGCAGCCCTGCATGCTCCATTACTTTTTAACTGTATATATGTATTTTAGTAAAAAATCTTAAGATAGAAATACTTTTGAACTACATTGCAGTTGAGGAAACACATACATATAGTCTTACAAGAGTGCTTAGACTGGACCTGCTGTAGCAGTCTTTTCTGGGCACTATCCCTGGTCAAGGACAGAAAGTTTCTTGAGCCACCATTGGAATGATTTCAGTCTCCACTCAGGTTTCACAGCATTTCTCTTTTCAGCTACCCCACCTTTACTCTAGTCATGAAGATCCATTTTCTTTTCCTCCTTTTCTGAATTCACTGTCATGCTATTGGCATGACTTTGGTTCCGTAACATAATCCATGTCTCTCCCTCTTTCCTTTCCTTCCTCTCTTTACTCTTCTAAGAAAATGTTCCCCTTCAGTCCAAATTCCTTCACTAAATATTTTCACATGTACTTCCTGGCCTGAGTCCTATTTGAGTGCTCTCCTACAAACACCCTTAGTATACTTTGATTTGTTTTTTAAAAATTATTTATACAGATAATTTCTGGCATTATCCTTTTTTAAATATTTATTTCAAAAGTTTTATAAACATTTGTAATGAGATTAATGTCTTCAAAATTCTCTTGAATATTTTCTTGATGACATGCAGAAAACAAATCATTTTGTACCTGCTTTAATGATGAAATTGTGAACCTAAATATATACAAAAAGAAGCCCATTAACCACTTCTATTTAAAACACATGTTCATACACACACCAAGCTTTTTGAGTAGCTACGGTTAGTTATTCACAGGAATAAACAGGACATTTAATCAGCCTGCAAAATTAAGTAACAATACTTACACTTGTTTATATAAATACTGGTACTTACTTCCTAAAGTGACTCCAAAATTCTTTGTATATTCTTAAGGCCAAAAGGCATAGGTTAGTTTTCTAAAAATAGTAACAATACTTCCTACCCAAACCTAACAGATAAAATATTGTCCAGGCTCTTTAAACTGCCCACACCAGATTTCTCCCTGAATGATAAAAAGAATTAATAGAAATATGAATTCAGTAGTAGAAATTTGTGTATGTTTAGAAAAATATTTTAAATTAAGAATGTAAATGACTAAAAATATTTCAAGATTCTTCTGATTAAATAATAGGAATATGACTGATTCTGAAATATTAAAACAGATTCCCAAGTCACTCTAGAAAACATCAGAGCTGCTGTGACTAGGGATATGAATAAATAATTCAAATATTGTCCCAAGAAGTTAGCAACACCATGGTTTTTTTTTTAATTTTGTTTTTGGCTTTTTTGGCTTGAGAAGTAAGTATTATATTACAGTTGTTTTGCATTCTACTCTGAGCAAGAATGGATGGATTAAAATTTCAGCACAACCAGTTTCTATGAAAACTGGCAAGTTAACCTGCCTGTGCCTTGATTTCCATAAAATGAAAATAAAGAGGATAACAATCGTTTATACTTCAGAAAGGTCTTTGAAGGAATTAAAATTCAAAAACCTTGGCATTAGTATGTATTTGATAATAACTAGTTAAAAATTACTTTTAGAAAACATTCATGCCTTGGAAAACTTCATTGAGCATGCAAATGCATATAGCCAGGAAAATAAAAGCATCTACCTAAAACACACCATATTTATCTCTCATATCTTAAACAGTTACTAAGAAACAGAATGCCCAGTAAAATGTAAATGTATGCAGGATTTCAAAGCTTTCCAGGCTTTTTAATAAAATAATCACACACTATAATATTGCATTAATGTTTGATATGTTAGAGAATGCGAGTTATTCACTAAAGCAAAAAAGGAGAACAAATTATGACCAAATTCTACATAGCGAATGAAAATTACAAATTCCAGCCCACACAGGAATATCTTGAATGATTAAAGGTACAAATTAGGCTCCTAATCATTATTAAATCAAAGTGTAGTTTAAAAAAGAATGGTAGATTAAAGCTAATAACTTTATGAGAAATTTTGGCATTTATGAACAAAGAATTTTGCTTCCAAATGTGCATAGGTCCTCAAAGAATGTTTTATATTGTGTAAAGTAGACACAGCACCTTGATGTCTGAATTACTATGTGATAAAGAGACCTGTAGTTACACCTCCCAGCAGGCCTCAGTCACCTATTCCACTTGACTCAGATTACTAGGTTGTTTGTTTTCCTTCTCTTGTTACCAGTTCAGCTCAACAGTGACCAGGAATTGCAGCCCTTTAAAAGCTGGTAAGTGGTTTGCCTTTTTTTGATCTTCAGAGATTCTGCAAATGGTGTCACTTTCACCAGCTAGTGAGTGCAGCCATTTACCCTCAGGAAAAGCCTAGGCCCAGCTCTCCAGCGTCCTGAATACCGAGGTACAGCTGACCAAGGCCACCAGGGGTCGCTCCCCTCCCGACTTCCACCCTGCCAGAAGTGAGAGAAAAACGCAGTAAGGAAAAGTTTTTGACTTTTTGAATGTGGTTGATTTAAAAATTGATAAAGCCAGATACAATGAAAGAAAATGTACTTTTATTAAGGTATTAATTTATTATTGCTGTTTCAGAAAAAGTTAATAGGCCAAATGACATGGTGAAGACTGTACTGTTTCTTAAAATCTCAGCCTGTGTGTGATAAAACCAAACTAAACTGGAACATAGCTGTTCATGAGGAAGAAGAATAAGGCAAGATCTTTGATATAGGCTGATGTTTATAGAGAAACAACTCATCAATGTGCTTCTAGCTTGGTTTGGAGTTAAAATAGCCAGTTTCTTATGGTTTAGCTATTAGCGTCCCTATAGTGAAGAGAAACAATTAACTCAGCTAACACAGTTTGGTGAAAACACTCCATGAAACAAAGTGTAAGAAAAAAATTAGAAATATTGTAAGTGTCCCCAAATGACATTATAATTATGTATATAAGAGGGACAAGAACATTGGTAAAAGCATGCAGTACAGAAATGAACATTTATTAAAATATGTTAATTTTATACACTTTAATACATCAACATGGTTCCAAGAAATATTAGACAAATTGTCAATAGAGTATAAAAGCTAACGAAATTATAGCTTTAATGTTATTTGTTTTACAACTTTTCCCCAAGTACAAATTAGTTTTACTTTTTTTCCATGTAACTTTTATAACAGAAAAAAAAAAAAGACTTAAGAAAGTTGACATTTCTGCTGAAATGCAAAACTTTTTGAGCTGTCTTTGGCCCCTGGAGCCGGCTACCCCCCAGTTATCTGGCCAATACATGCACCACATAAACATGTGGCATGTGGATAGACATTGAGGTGTATATTATTCTTTGGATGATGTTTGGATAAATCCCTTTCCAGACTTTAGCTATTCCCAAGTGGCCTGGTTCAAATTGTTTCAAATATCCACAGCTGGAGAAGACAGAATCCCAGTAGCCCCCAAGAAAATTCCTGGGTGTGATCCAAGCTAGTTTGTCAGGAGATTCTGACTCCAGACACTGGCCAGGGGAGGACAATGTAAAGTCCAATATAGTTGCCCAGTCCTTAGGCAGAGCTGCAGACAGAGTAACAGAGGATCAAGGAAGTCATTGACTGGTCCCACTTGATAAGAAAATGGCAGATGAGGTCCATAGATTGGTCGATTCCCTTCATATGACTCAAGCTTACTGAGAAGAGATGCAACAAGACAACTGAAGAGCCATCTCCTCCTCCATTTACCCTCTGTGTCTTTATACTGGGATGTATCAGTGCTGGCATGGATCACTCACCGCTGCATGGTTGGGTTTGGGAGCTGCCTATTCTAGGCAAGCTGTGAGATTCTATTTTACCTTCTTCCTCTAGTGATGGCAAACCCTTTAAAGCTTTCAATAACAAATAGCTAGCTGCGTGCCATGGGTTCACCACTGCGAAAGGGGTGGAGGATTAAGTAACTACATCATAAAATATTGTAATTGCATGCAGTAATTGCTCTAAGCAGTATGCAGAACAGAATAAAAAATAAGTGTCAGCCACAGTATCATTATAATTATGTTTTTCATGATTTTCCTTACAAGATAGGCAAAGGTACTTCAAGTCCAGCATGCTAGGGAGGGACCAAAATTTCAGGTGTCACTAATCTCTGAAAGCCTTTATGTTACCTTTGTTTGTACAAACTGGAAAATCCCCTTTAAGATTCTTCTTCTCTGCTGTAAAACCACCAAAGCTCAAAAAACACATATTCTTTTCCAGGAAATGTGCCTCTTTAGATTGAGCAATGCACAGCCTTCACAGCTGCACCAGTGACCCAGATCTTGCTGTGAAGGAAAGGAATCTAGGGAATTAACTGCATGGCAGACTCATAGGGGAAAGCTGAGTGGGTCTTGGATGCCAGGATGTGTGTACAAAATTCTAGTAGGAAGATAACTATCCATGTCCCAAGGGAAAGCTTTTCTTAGATGTTAAAAAGAAACACAAGTCTCCCAACATTTCAAAAACCTTCTTCCAGAGCTTGGGCATGAGACAGTATAGATGTAGAGGACCTGAGATAATGAAGGAAATGAAGGAAGCTTCTGGGTACAGTCTGATATTTATGCAAACCAGTTCTCCATGAAGAGTTGGTGCTGGAGGTCATAATCACACAGGAACTCAAAGAGCTACTGAGGAAGACTTTTTAGAACAGGGAAAGCTAAGAGTAGAAAGTTGTTTGGACTGTTTCTATTTATTAAGTCCTACTGTCCTAAAATACGGTGAACTCCGCCAGGACGCTCCCTCTGAATTTCTAGTTGTGTCTCCTCCATAGGACAGGTCTGCAGGCTACGAGTCATAACTGGCTAAGACATAGTCCCGAGTGGCTCCACCTGAGAAGACAAGGGACCCAAGGAAAAGTGTCACAGACCTTGGCAACACCTGACCTCTTTCCTGTCCCTTACTTTCCTCTTTTACCCACCTCAAATTAGGCCATTCTTTTCCACTACTGAATTTTAGGTCTGGTGGTTTTTCTTCTATTTTATTCATTTGCTTTCTCCCTGATCTCCTTCCTAACTCACCCTCAGTTCCTAACAGTCCATTTACCATCTGAAGGAAACTATATCTCTCTCCTTAACTGATACCCCAGTTGTAATAATTGTCCCAAAGAGATACATTATCTGGCTTCTGTCCTCTCTTCTCCCCATGCCACAGATGTTTAGAGCGTAAATTTGGAGAATTGGTGACCAGCAGAAACATCAAGGTGCATCAGCTGTTACTTCCTGTGTATTTCAGTTTTTCAGTTGCATGGCTATTCCACCTTTGCAGACCTAAACCTCATCTAAGGGAATGTCACTTCTCTCTCAAGATTCAGAAGTCTCAGGCTCTGATACCTACAACGTTTGCTCCTGCTCTGTGTCTGCCCTATGGCCTCAGGGATCTTCAGCTCTGTTTAGTGGTCATGCATGCCATTCCCTCCTTTGTTTGAGTTCTAAGAATAGCCACAGCAACTTTATCAACCTCAGGATGCCTCCTCTGCCTTTCACAGCACCTGTAAATATCAAGTGCTCAAAAGGTACGTGTTGAATTTAATTGAATTCTGAGAGGAGGGGACCATATTATTTCCTTTCCTGCTTCCAGGAGATGCTGGTGCCCCCAAAGAAAGGAAGAGAGGAGAAATCTTCTCATGGACTTTTCCTCCACCCCATTTGCTTCCAGAAGATGAGTTACACTCTGGGACAGAGGCATTATGACGCTTTCTTCTTGTTCCTACTCACTTGAAGCCTGCCTTTTCCTTAAGGTCCAGAACAAAATTCCAGTAAAGAAGATGATGACACAGACAGTGATGCCACTGCTGACTCCAATGACCAGGGCACTAGATGGCGAAGGCTCTAAAACAGCAAGAGCAAGTTCAAGCCCATGACTGCTCCCCCAAAGCAGACCCTCCCCTCACTTCCATGGTGAACACCCCTGTACCTCAACAACAGATTTTCTCAGCTTGTGGTTTTTGTGTGTGTGTGTGTGTGTGTGTGTGTGTGTGCCAGGGATTGAACTCACGACCTCACATTTGCCAAGCAGGCACTTACATCACTGAGCTAAACCCCCACCACTCAGTCCGTGGTTCTTGGCCTTACCCCAGGTGACTATGAGGGGCTGATCCAGGCCAGGGTGCTCCACTAGGCAACTATATCGCTGCTCCTCCCCAAAGGACACAGCCAAGGCTGCCCAGCCCTGGTAGGTCCCATCTCCATTGGGCAACACACTCTTCTGTCCGCCCTCCTTGGCATCCAGTGGCTGCCTGTCCTTCAGCCATCTCATGGTGATGTTCTGAGGATAGAAGCTCAGAGCCTGACACCGTAGAATGGTCATTGCAGGGTCCACACGATGAGTCACCTTCACCAAAGGAGGAACTTAACAGGAAAGAGGAAGGATGAAGAGAGGGAATCTTTTTACCCTTGCCAAGAAGACCACAGCTTTCACTTCCCTCTATGGGTTGGAGGAAGGACGGATCCTTTTCAGACAAATGGGCTCCAGAAGTGACCATACTGTGTCCTAAAACTCATTTGAAGTTTCAACTCTATGAAGTATTATATGGAGAGCAACCATAGACATAGGTGTCTGCTCTTTTGTCTAATATGTAAATATGTGCACAGACTGTCAGTTCCATCAGGCTCAATCCTCTAAGTTATTCTTACAAGAAAGACCCTCAAAAGATAGTAGACCGTAGTGATTGTTGCTGTGTCTTGCTAAAGTAACTTTATCCTGCAAGGATTCTACTGTTCTGAAGGACTGTGTCACCGGGTATTTTCTTGCCTTGGTAGTCAAGTTATAGTTGACATTTCTAAACCTCTAAAAAGTATAAATATACACAAGGTTCCTGACTAGCTCAAAAGATCATACATACTTCCTCTTTACCCATATGCATGGGGAAAAATAATTAAAGCCAGGGCACATGGGTACCCTATGATTAGGAAAGTCCTTTGAGAGACCGTACATAGTCTTGGCCACATCTGAATCCTCAGCTATGAACAACCCCATGCCTCTCACCCCTCCACTCCCTCACTAGAAAGTGAGGACAGGAAGGTGCTGCCACTATACCTGGTTGGTCCAGAACCCCTCTCCCCAGCTCCAGGAACCTCTGCAGCTGCTCAGGGCAGTCTCTCTCAAGGTAGGCCTTGTTCTGCTTATTCTGAATCTTGTGCTCTTCCCACTCCAGCTTGGTGGCATGGGCCGCAGGCTCTGCTGCTCTCCAATCCAGCATTTCAGGGCGAAAGTCAAGGTGGTCCTGACCATCGTACCCATACTTCCAGAAACCCCTGGTGCTGTTGTCCTCCCGCACCTCGCAGCCAAGGATCACCTGCAGGGTGTGGGATTCTGGCAACACATCAGCTTGTTACTGAGATCAAGGGAGTAGGCCCCTGTCCCCACCATCCTCAAGGCCCACACAATGCCAATAAGAACATGCTTCCCCTCTTCATTCCCCTGGACCCTAAGCCCCCAGCTCTTCCTCCAAGCATCCCTAGGCAGTGAGATGCTGAAGCACCTCGGTAAGGTGAGCCCTTTCTCACTCACCCTTGCTATGGTTGTGGTTGTCCATGATAGTCCAGAAGTCCACAATGAACATATGTTCCCACCCTTTTAGGCTCTGACTGAGCTGTAGCCACAGCCGGCTTGAGGTCTTGTCCCCAATCCATTGAGCCCTGGGCTCAGCACGGCGACTCTCATGATTGTAAGACACAAACAGCTGATCATCCACATAGCCCAGAGCCTCAAACAAGGGCAGCCCGTGCCCAGGTTCTGAGGCACATACAAAGAGGTAGTGTAGAGTGTGAGAGCCTGGAGAGAGAGGGAGAGGCCTTCAGCAGGGGCACCAGGTTGCCCAGCTTCTGAGTCCACACAGCTGAATCAGCTCACATCACTACTGGGTTTGTGTCATCCTGTGAAGAGTGAGACAGTCCTGCATCTTTCTGTGTGGGAATCCTGGCTGTGTCTCCCATGCACCTCCCTTGCCACAAGTGGCTGCCACCTATTAGCTGTCCTCTGTCCCGGTACTCCTAGTACTCATGACTGGGCCATTACTCCTGAAGCCAGGAAAAATCCTGAAGCATCTCCAGCCGTGATGGGCAAAATCAGTAGATGAAGTTCACAGCTATTAGATTCAGTCCTAAGGAACTGCCACCTCCAAACACTTACCTGTGAAAATGTTGGTGGTGAAATTCTGTAAGATCTGCTGATACACAGCTTAAAACAAATTTCCAGCAAACACAGAAAGAGCTCCTAGAAGCTGAGAGGACAAGACCTCTATGGCAGGTGAGTCCATGACAAAATGAGGGGGCTCAGGGATGCACCCCAGTGCCCACAATGTCACCTAGCACATGGTAGGTACTTCATAAGTGCATGTTAGATGAATAATAATAACTTAACATTTTTATCTCTGGCCCTGAACTCTATCTAGACTCTTATCTTCCTTAACAACACCTATTAGATACTTGATTGAAACCTCAAATATATATCTCAATTTTCACCAAAACTGTTTTCCTGTGCTTTTACATTTCAGGAATGGCATTACAAATCACCCCATTGTGGGCCTGATAAAATAAAAATAAAGTAAAATAAAGAAGACAGTTGCTTTTGAATTTTCTCTTTGGTATCATACATGGATCTTCCAGCAATTTCCGTTAAAAAAAAATACACAATCAAATTCAAATGTTTCCTATTTCCCTCTGCCAGCCCCAGCTAAGCCTGCTCTATCATTTCTTGCCTAGACTAGCCTAAGGGCTTCCTGGCTGATCTCTCTGTCTTTGTTCTTTTTACTGTGTTTTGCACAAAGCAGCCAGAGTGTGCTTTTCAAAACCCTTGAAAGGTCCTGTCCCCGCTCAGTCTACCCCACAGCCTGTGACCTGCGACCGGGCCTGTGGAGGCTGTCCTCCCCCCACCTCTCTGGCTCCAGCACTGTACTTCCTGCCCTTCATTCAACCCAGTGGTTCTTTTGCTTTTCCCCGTCCCTCTTTCCTTTTCTCTCCCCTTCCTTCCTATGGCACCAAAGACTGAACCCAGGGCCTCACAGAGTTCCATCCCAAGCCCTTTTAATTTTTTTATTTTGACAGGGAATCTCGATAAAATTGCCCTGTCTGGTGTCCTTCACAGTTTGGAGCAAACCAAATTGTTTGTATTCTTTGTAACCTGAGGGGTGTTAATATAACCCAGGGGCCAGTGAACCAGTAAAGCTACAACTAGCTCTATTTCCCAGAGCATAACGGGAGTCCACAAAATCATGCATCAGAAAGTGTTTTCACTGGTTAAATGTTAATCATAACTTCGGCATCCTTTGGACAAGGCTCCTTGGTTCGTACAGCGCATCTCAAATCAAAGTCTAGCTGAAATAACAGAACCTGATGCATCAGCGAACCTTCAGAAATCACATGGCTTTCCAGGGGAAAGATAAATGGGTGAGTCAGGAAGCCCCAAGATAGACCTCTCTGCCTAGCCTCCAACGGGCCTCAGCAGGAGGGAGGAGGAATGGGGTAGCATCCGGATCCCGACCCGTAGACTCCTAGTCATGCCCTGTGTCTGCATGGTTCCCTGTTTGCCTACCGGCTAGGGACATCTTGGTGCGGAGACACCGAGGCTGCCCCGGGGCACTCTGGGAAGGAACTTCTTGTCCGCTGATAACTGGGGGAAACCACTCAGGCCGCAGTAGAAAATGAAACAGAGATACCAGTTCCAGGGCTCTGGGCTCAGCTCACTTAGTAAGAAACCAAGAGATCTATTGTACGATCAGAGCGTCACAGGGGCGGAGCGGGTTGCAGGTTCCAAAGGCAATTCCCAGGACTGGGGGCGCCTGGCCTGGGTGGGGAGTGGGGTGTGGGAGAGGGGTGGGCGTGGGGTTTGGGGAGCCGGACCCAGAGCTAGGGGCTCGCCTGCAGCTGGCAGCCACCCGCCCGGACGCCGCGCGGTCCTAGGTGTGCGAGCCGCCCCACTCCGGCCCCACTCCGGCCCCCTCGCCCCGCACCCTTGCTTTCCGGGATCAGGGTTCACGCCCCGCCCAGTGTCCCCGAGCCCAGGACTCACGCGGCTGTCGCCCCTGTGGGGTCGGGGTCCGCACGAGGAGGAGCAGCAGTAGCGCGAGCCCGGCCCACGCGCCCATTGCCTGGGCCAGGCCTGCGGGGTAGCTCTGAGACCCGAGAGACCCAAAAAGTCACCCGGGAGCCGCGGCCCGGGCTCCAGGATGCCTGCTGAAACTTCCTGAGGAGCGCGAACCCTTTCCGGGCCCTCAGGGAACAGAAACTAGTGTCCAGAACCGAACTTTCCCCTGCATGTCGGGATGCCAACTAGCGACGCCCTTGGAGCTGCTACAGTGGTCGCCCAGCCTTGAATAGAGATTGGGGCGGGAGGTGGGAGGTGGGGGTGGGGAGAGTACTGTTTCCTGGGGAAAGAATATCTCACATTTTCTGATCCTTACAGTCAGTATTTAAATAGTACATTAAAAATTCAACCATATGTTTTCAAAACTTTTTTTTCCTAATGTAACTTGACGATCTTGTTGATTTAGAATTATAAGTGTTTTTGGTTAAAAATGGAATTCTGATCCACAATTAAAATTAATGAGATTAGTACATGAGATTTTACTGAAACATCTCTTGCAGTTTACATAACTAAATTACCTGAGGACTGTGTCACAAACTTTCCAGCACACTGGAAATACCTGAAAAATCATGAAGTCCCTTGAGGCACTGATTTAACTGATGTGACAACCAGAGTACTGGGATTTTATTTACTTATTTTTTTTCAATTTTTTGAGATAGGGTATTACTGTATAGTCCAGGCTGGCCTCGAATTGGCAGTAATCCCTCTGCCTCAAGCTGTTGCCTCAGTATGCCCAGGTGCTGGGATTACAGTCGTGTGCCAGCACGCCCAGCCAGCAGTGTACCGGGATTTTAAAAACTCCCTTCAACTCCCCAAAGTTGGGGAATTCTTCCTTAGACATTGCAAACTATATTAACAGATTTCATACATCTGATTTGCTCAAGATCTTTTCAGGATCTAACATTCAATGAGCAATACTTTTCTAAGTATGCATGCAAATTTTGGCAAGGATTTTCAGCACACTGGGTGTGTCAGTGGGGCATTCGAATTGGTAAATTGAGTAAAGAAGATTGCCTTCACCAATGTGGGTCGGCACCATCTAGTCTTTGAGGGACAAATAGAACAAAAGACAGAAGGAGGGTGAATTTGCTCTCTAATTTTGAGTTGGATCATTGATCTCCTTCCTTTACAATAGTAGTTCCTGGTCCTTGGCCTTTCAGGCTCTAAGACTTGGTTCATTCTGTGTTGCTAGAACAGAATATCTGTAAGATTGTAACAGTAACCCACCCAAAAAACAAGGCCCCATGATGAAAAACGGGGTAAAACCCCCAAGAGTAACGGGGCAAGATGTCTTTTTAAAAGAAGCGCTTTTATTTTAGCTGGCCCAGCAGCACAGTGCAGATGGAATTTGCAAAACTGGGCAACTGAGTTAGAATTTTGACTTTTTATAGTTTACTTATGATTAGCTCATTGATCATTAAGTGCATAGTGATGAGAATCAGAAACAAGGTAGGCCTTTGTTCCCCTTTGCTTGAGGTCAGAGGCATTTTACAGTGGGTGGTTAGCCAATTTATAGCCCTTGGTCTGCCAATTTTAGGAACTTTCAGAAAGGGAACAATGGTTGACACAGCATCATTTGTCTCTTACAAGGGGAACAAAGGTTGACAGCACACAAGTTAGTTGGGGGAGCGAGCCTATAGAACAGTATAACAATGCAGTCTATAACTATGTGGTTGGTGCTTGGTTACTAGGGTAGTGAGCTCAGTAAAGAATGACAATACTGCTAATAACTATCTTTTTAACTATTTTTGCTAATTATCTTTTAATCAATTATTTTAATTTTTCAGCATCTTAGTATAACAATAATGACCTGTTCTAGACGGAAATAATTCAGGTTCTTGAACGCCAATGCAGTCCTGTAAGACCTAATTTACACTTAAGAACCCTAACTTCGTATTTAGAGAAAGGCATTTATCCATTCATGATTAGGTTATGGTGGCCCCATAATCTAATCATCTTCCAAAGGATTGTAGGATTAACCTATGACTCCTGGATAGGAAAACCACATCCAAACCATTGTAGGGACATACATAAACAGACTCTGAAGTGCTTCTCAGGCCTTCAGACTCAGAATGAAGTATACCACTGAGGTTTGTCATTCTCCAGCTTCTGTCCGGTATGTGACATGAGGGAGGGATTCAATTTCATTTCTTATCACATGGATAGTTGGTTATTCCACTGCCACTTGAGAAGACAACTGTTTCTTCTGTGATGCTTTCTATATTCTTGTCGAAATCCATTAACAGACTCAATTAACTATAAAGGTTGATTTCTGAACCCTCAGTTCTGTTCCTTTGACTTATATTTCTGTTTTTATGTGAGGATGACATTATGCTGATTGTTGTAGCTTTATACCTAGCTGAAATCAAGAAGTTTGATTCTTACAAACTTATTCCACTTTTCCAAGTTTATTTCAGCTAGTCTGGGTTTGCCACATTTTCATATGAGTTTTAGAATCTGTTTAGCAATGTATAGTTTGTGTATGTTTCAAATCTATAAAAAGTTATCATGTTACAGAAAAAGGAATGATGGATCATATTCTAGAATCCATAGTGGTTAAAGTGTATAAAAAAAAAAAAGCTGCAACGAAATAAAATCAGATCAAATCTGAAAATTCTTCATTGTATGTGATTTTTCCGACCCAGAAGATTTCAGCCCCAGATGGTTCTATGGGAACCTGAAGGTAAATAGGCTGGAAAGGAATGAAAGAAACAAATAAAAAGCTGCAATTTCAGATCTAGAAATGGATTGAACAGATGAGGAAGAAGCTCTGGCCCCAATTTTGAGCCACTCCTCACTGGCCCCATCTTCTACTCTCACCGTACAAAAATGGTACAATAAACACTAACAAAGGATGGTATGATGAGAATGGCACCAGATGGCTCCAGGGGAATGCGAGAGTCAGGATCATGCCACACTGGCAGGGACTTGGGTTTCTATGTACTTCAGGGAGATGCTTAGACTACAGTTCAAGGACTGAGAAAGGTCGCTCAAGCTATGAAACAGAAGTAGCTGGTGAACTATTTTTCCCTATAAATGTAACACAGAATAGGATGAAAAACGTATGTGAGAAAAGAATGGGTTGAATGATATGTAGATGCAAAACAGAACATCTCCCCTGTTATGGTTTGGATCTGAAATGGCCCCAAAGCCTATGTGCTAAAAGGTGGGTCACCAGCCTGTGGCACTTTTGGGAGTTGGTGGAACCTTAAAAGGTGGGGCCTAGTGGAAAGAAGTTAGGTTTGGGGAGGGTGTGTCCCTGAAGGAGCTCTTGCAATCCTGGGCTGCTCCGCTCTTCTCCCCTCCCCTCCCCTCCCCTCCTCTCCCTTCCCCTCCTCTCCCCTCCTCTCCCTTCCCCTCCTCTCCCCTCCTCTCTTTTCTTCCTCTCTTCTTTTTTCTTCTCTTTTATATTTCCTCTTTCTCTCCTTCCTCTTTCCTCCTCCTCCTTTTTCTCTCTGTGCCCCCTCTTCATCAAGCGACTAGCCACCTTTACCACATGCTCCCACTCCCAGATAAACAGCTTCTCTTAGTCTCAAAATGAGTGGCCATGCACTGAAACCTCTGGAACCATGAGCCAAAATACGTCTTTCTTTCTTTCTTTTTTCTTTCTTTCTTTCTTTCTTTCTTTCTTTCTTTCTTTCTTTCTTCCTTTTCTTTCAGGGGGTGTGTGCTGGGGATCAAACTCATGACTTGTATTGCTGAGCTAAACCATTGGCCACATCCTTCTTCTTGAGTAACTTATCTCAACTATTTTGTCACAGTGGTGGAATGCTAACATACCCGTATATCATTTGCTAATCATTTTTTTCAACATGTATATGAGGAAACTTGGGTCTTCTAAAAACATATGATGTTCTAACTCTTAGTACTTCTGACTATGTCTTTATTTGAAATAGGGTCATTGAAATATAACTGATAAGATGAGTCATGCACGGTGCAGCAGAGTTATGTTTGATGTCCTAAGAAGAGAAGAGACACAGACACAGAAAAGAAAATAGACAGTTGGAAACAGAGGCAGGATGTAGCTATGATGCCTACACCAAGGAACACCTGAAGCTATGGAAGATGAAGTGACCAGGAAAGTTTCCCCAGAGGCTACAGAGGAAGCCTAACCAGAAACAGTACCTTTAGTTTTGGACTTCTACCCTTAAAAATACGAGATGACAAGTTTTTTTTGTCACTGGGTTTGTAATACTTTGTTGTCATTCATAGGAAACTAAATGCTATTGCATTTCATGAGTGTTTTGAGACTTTCAAACATCTCTGCCCTTTGCAGTGTTAACTTGTGGAATTCAGGTTCTATACTTTGAAGAGTGAAATTTCTTTGAACTGCTAACAAGAAATTTCAACACAGTAATCTTTGATAATGTTATTTTTAACAAAATAATCTTGCAAGATTTAGCAACTGTCAATATGTCTTATTATTAAAAATCTCTTCCTAAAATGTCTAAATTCTGACCAGTTCTCTCTCAGTTAATGATATGTTTTGCTGGCAATACTGTAATAGATACCTGTCTATAGGTACAAATATTTGTGTATTTTGTTGTTATTAAGCTTTTACAAAATATTTGGCCTATTCTTATCTCCCACTTGTGATTTTAATAGTTATTTAAGCAAAGTATTTGAAGTCTTAAATTAACACAGGCTAGCCAAGCAGGGCATGTTGGCATGTGCCTATAATCCTAACACTCAGGAAGCTGAGGCAAGAGGATCTTTGCAAGTTTGAGACCAGCCTGGGCTACAAAGTGAGCTCAAGGCCAGCCTGAATTGCATAGAGATACTTTGTCACGTAAAGCAGAAACAACAATGAAAAAAAAATGAGGGACTAATAATAATAATAATAGTAATAATAATAATAAAGGAGGGGCATTTTCTTGAGTCCTCAGACTGCCTTTATCTGCTATGGTAAGAAGTGGACACCTGAATGAGGAGCACTGGGATCACCTACACCATATATTTACATATTCTTGACTTTCACCAATCTCCCTCCCATTTATAGATACTTTTCTGACCTCTGTTCATACCTATGTATGTACCTAATTTTTCTCTATATATTTATGTATATCAAACTCTCTAATTGCTCACCCTAAATAGAAACACATACCTAACCTCTATAATGGAGAATAAAGTTGAAATGAAAAGCACTTAACAAAGTGTAGACCCATGGCATAGTCAGAAATTTCAAAAACATGTCATATTATAAAACATAGATAAATGAATTTTTTA